GCCTTGTAATTTTGAACCAATCCAGAAGACAAAGAAACTCCTGGATCGGTATCCCCAGAGGTATTGATTTGCTATGGGAACATGGCGACGGGCTGGGAAACATCCCTGAGGATCCCTGAGGATGATCCGAAGACATGCCATCACAATTTTGATCCTCTGCAGAGGGGATGGCACCCCCGCTTCGGTAGCCCGACGACCTGCACGCGAAGTCGAGCACTTTACAGTAGACCCGTTTAACGAGGACCAATAACGCACACCCTCGGTCCCTAGGCAGACTGATCCAAGTGGTTATTATGATACGGAAGATTATATTTGTGAGGTAAATTAATAAGCTTAAGTAAATCATTTTCATAGTTAATTTTATTTGAAACTCTTAGACAGGGAAGTTGGTAAGGAAGGGGTAAAGGGTTTCAAGCATCCCCCATTGTGAATGGCAATATTTCCTCAAACAATTTTTTTAAAACTAGTTTTAATTTTTTTTTTCTTTTATGGATTTTATAAGGTAAAAAACAACACTTAAAAATAATTTTACGACATCGATATGAGGCTCTTGATTGTTCCAAAATGTAAAACATTTGTTCTCTCACAAGAAAGTAATATACTCTAGACCAGGGGTGGCCAAGCTCTTTGATAACGAGCAATTTTTCAAAATTTGAAATTTTTCGCTAGCCGCAATTAAATAGGGGAGAGTGGGGTCAATTGTAACAGGGTACGATTGTAACAGAACAAAAATTTCGAGTGTCGGGTTCTAGATTTGGTTCCTAGGTGGCGCACAATGTGTATTTAATAAATCCACATGCACACCCCTGCTGGCAACCATTTTTATGTACTTTTGAAAAAGTTACATCACAAAAGATATTTTCACGCTACGTAAGTACTTTTTTTGGTATTAGAATATTATATTGTAACTAAGTAATTTTGTTTAAACAAATAAAAATTATTAACCGAATATGTAAGTGGACACCTTAATCAACATTTCAATATAAAAAAAATTAGTTTTGTTAATTAACTAGCATTGTTTTTAACAAATGAAGCTGAAATGGTGTCTTGGGGACGATTGTAACAATAAGTAAAGGGACGATTGTAACAGCTGAAAATAAAATTCATAATTTCAATTGCAATTGTTTAACCCCCTAGGTTCCATTTCTTATGTTTACAAACCATTACTTAATTCTTTAAGAGCCACCAATAGTTTCCTACATTATTTATATTATGTTGCATGTTCATTATTTTATTTGTCACCTTTCACAGCATAAATTAAAATTTTTAACCCCTTAAAGTTAAAAGTTTAACCCTTTAGGTCTCTGCTCATTATTATTTTTACTCCTAAACTATCACTACTATTTTGATCAATAAAAAAATCTATCAAAACTGTGATAATATGCATAATTAACTGTGTTTTAGTTAGTGGGGACAATTGTAACAAGTGCACGACTGTCAAAAATTGTTAATAACTAATATAATCACATTTAAAATAAGGTATTTATTTTTCTTTCTAGTAGAGGATAGTCTACTTTACTCGTCTGTCAATTAATACTAATAATATATTGTATTTTTTGTTAGTTGAAAATAGTTAGGTAAAAAATGTTACAATTGACCCCACTCTCCCCTACCTATATAAAAGGTATAAATTTTTTTTAATATTTTTTTTACATGTATTTATTGAAAACATATAAGTAAAGGTACAAAATATGTGTATTGAATTTAATGTATTAAAAATTAAACACATTTATTTTACTTCTCTCGATAATTCTTTAAAATTTTGTGAATAATTGGTGATTGCCCTCCTCAATAATTCTTTGAGATGCTAATTATTTAATACTGCTCGGTGTTTGAATTTGACGAATTTTAAGGTGGAGTAAAATAATTCACTTAAGTACGTTGTTCTGAATATTGAAATAATTCGATAAACAGTCTGTTTTTTAAATTTAGGATACTTCGATTCTGGTATAAATTTCCAAAATTCAGCAATCGACGTCGACTTGTATTTTAATTGTAGAGCTCGATCTTCTTGCATCTCTATTAATTCTAATTCTCCAGATGCTTTTTGTGTCATAATTACAGTCGGACTTCTATTTAACGAACTTCCATTTTACGAATTTCTCTATTTTGCGAATTTTTTCGTGGAACCAAGAACATTTTGGAAATTTCTTCGTTAAATAACTTCTAAATAGCGAAGTGAATTTTCTATTTAACGAATTATTTTTTTTTTGAGATCTACTTTCCCCATTTCCCAAAATATTTGAGAAAATTACTAACTTGTTAACGCATTTCATGGGGGAAATGACCTTGATCTGATTTTCGCATCCCCTTAATTTTTAGAGAAAGAAGTAAAATTCCTTTCCCTTTTTGTTTGCATTTCATACAGGAAATGCAACGTCACTAGAAAAGGGGGGAAAGGGTCAAATTCCTTGAATAGGAAATGAGCAGAGAAGATAAAAGGAATGGGTCATCAAAGTGTGTGGTCCCTGGTCCCTTATTGACATGTCCTATTATCTCCACCCCCACTGTTCACTTCCTTTCTAGAAAAACTTTCAACTTTCTCGTTGTTCACTCGGTAGAGCTCCTGTTTTAAGATTGCTGATCAGAGTGCTGCTTGTTGCTTTTCTTACGGCTGCAAAATGTCGAAGCGAAAGTGCCTGACTATTAAAGAAAAAAATTNTAATTTAATGGACAGTTCATACAGTATTTTATTCAATTTTTATTGATTATTTTTTCCCCGTATTTGACACTTTGCTGTGAAAATGATTTATTTATTTTATTTTTAAATGGTGTTCAGGTCTACGATATTCAGGTCTAATTTGATTTAAAGTTATTTTCCATACTACGACATGCAAATGATTAAAATGTTCATATGAGACTTTACCTTTCCTTGTGATGTTAAAATGTTTGCAAAATACCTAAATTCTACAATATTAAGTTTTTAATTTCATATCACTCAATAAAATATTTTTCAAAAAGCGTAGTCCAGTGAAGCCTTATTAAATTAGAAATATAAGTACTTTTGCATTAACCTGATGCATTGCATTGATAGGCTTTGTTATTTTTTTCAGTATCGTAGACATAACTTCTTAAAAAAAAATACTGATTTTATTTTATTTTCTACAACATCTATATTGCTAAACAGGACTGTAGCAAATAGAATCTTTTCTTTTTATACCATTGATTATACTTCTTTTAAAAAATTTATTAAATTAGGAGTTTATTATTGAAATTCGTGCAATGTGAATTATATTAGTAATATGCAAACAACATTTTTACTATATATATATGTTTTTATTAATGTTAAGTTTAATGAAAGTCAATATTCACGACAGTATGCCGATATTACATCTCAACAATTCGACTAAAGTTTCCTTAAAGATATAATCATGATTGGTTAAGTAAATTTTGTTAAAAATATTATATATTAAAGAACAAATATATTGGTAAAAGTTCTAATACCTTAGTATATAAATACACTGTCATTTCATAAAACTAAAGTGCAGGTAATTAAAATCCAATTTAAAAGAAAAACTAAGAAACTGTTGCATCACAACACTGCAAATAATTTTATAAGTATCTATTAAGTGCTTCAAATTATGTACAAAATTTTCTATAGATTATTTTGTTGAATCAAAGTAGCTATCTGTTACTTTCAAAGTATAATCTATTTTAAATCTAAGAATTGCTTTCTCAGATCCATTTCCAATTATTTGAGTAAAAATGTCAATTTTTCGGTGAAAAATTTCCTGTGTATTGATTCATCATCAACTATTTTATTATTATTTTTAGTGACACTATAAAAATTTGTACTTTTTGATTCGTATAATCATAAAATTAGTTTCTGAAATTGCATACTATTGAAGTAATTAAATTAAGATCTTCATCTTAAATGAAGATTAATAATGTTAAAGTAAAGCACCTCTAATGATAACAGCATAAAATCGTTTTTATAATATTTCAACTTATCCAAACTTTCAAACTAATGAGGTAGTTCCCTTAAAATCTTCATGATAGTTAATAAAATAGATTATTTGCGTAAATAATCGATTTCGTTATTAGTATTAAACTGGATTTTATAAAATTTCATTGAAAACTTTTAGCACTAGTAAAATCTCAAAGCCAATTAAAAATAAACAAAATTTTAAGATCAAAATAAAATATTTCAAGTGCATAAATTCTTTTCTTTGACACATTAACTCAGATCTGTCAAATTTTGATATTTTTGTAACAAGATCGATTTCGTTTGAAAGAGTTTCTTTTATGTATTTTGAATTCAAGACCCATATACCTTTTTTTTAATTACAAGTCAATTCAAATTTACGATCAAAGCATTAGTAATGCTCGCAACACATGAATAATAGCAATGTAATAAAACTTTCAATATACTTTTATCTGAAATAAAAATGAATTCTGATATTTTTATTCCTTATAGGGTAATAAACACCGTTACTTTGTACACGTTATTCAACAACCAAGTTTTTGTACCTGTTATTAAAGAACGAGGAATCGGAATAATTATTGTATCATATCTTTGTGTTGATATTTTAGTGTAATTTATAATTTTCACAAATTATGTCTAAATTATCCCATAATAGGTACCTCTTAAAAAAACCTGACAGACCCCTGAATCTGTATTATCTTCTTTACTGTATTTAAATTTTGTTTGATTGGGCAAAGCTGATGTTCTTATTATGAATTTCATTTTACGAACAACTAGTAAGATTGACTTAGAATAATCAATTTTTGAAACCGAATTTTATTTATTATTAACTTATGTTCATTTAATTTTAATTTTGGTGATAATAGTACAGTTGAAGAACCTCGTGTGCTTGGTTTGGCCATGGTTCCTGGACATCATATAGTCACCATAGAAGTAGAAGTTGGTAGTGATGCAACTACAAATTCTGAAGGGTTATGATTATAAATATTTTAAAATATATCGTAAATATTTTGTTTATCCTAATAAATATAAAATGGAAACTATTGTGCAAAAAACATCTTTTATTGTTATAAAAATAGCGTTTAATCAAAGCTTGATCAGAGCTTTAGTCAAGTCTATAAAAGTGAAGTATATTTAAAACAATAGGGTATATCTATTTCATTTAAAACAATAAAAATTCATGTACATTTAGAACAATGCAAATTTCAATTAATACATTTCTATGATTTGGAAAGTATTAGTTGAGCCCATATTCTTTAGTAAGATTCCCTGCAATAACAATCCTTTGAATTTCACTTGTACCTTCATAAATTTCTGTTATTCTTGCATCTCTGTAATGCCTTTCAGCAGGCATGTCAGTTACATAGCCCATAGCACCTAATATTTGAATAGCCTAAAATATACAATACATGCTGTGAAAACAACTCCAGTTAATTTATTTGGAAAAAAAATATGCATAAATAATTGAATTATTTTGCAGATTAACAAGAAGAAATTGATAAAAGTATTTGCATCTGTACGACTAAGGTGTTATGTTGCAATGTAGCAGAACTATGTACTCTTACATAAACTAAATAACAGCTTAATGTATTGAAATGAGATAGGCTGAAATTTGATAACACTAAACTACACTAGTAATCTGTTTCAAATTTGTTAAATTTTAAGAGCAATTTATGCTCCTCTGCTTTAGAATACAATAGGACGGTGTAAAGTGTGCAATATATTTTGATGAAATTCTTTAAAAGTTTTAAACAATACTTTGTACATTTAATAAGAAAGGCATAAATTACATCGTACTAAATTTATTCCATTAAAGTTTAATTTTCAAATTATGAACACTGTATTTTACGCTTAGTTCGACTGCATTAATACAGCGTATAAAGCCAAACTGCATTATGTTCGAAAAAAATCGAGACGTTTTTTTGTTGTTGATGTTTTTATTATTTTTATTGCATGCGCGCATTGATAAAAAAAAAGGATCCTAGAATAAGGTCATATCTGAAAAACATAAATTGATCTGTATAGCAACTCTTCATAGCTATTCAAAAGCTTAAAAAAAAGCAATTAGCATTTTTGTATTTTGCACAAAATAATGCATTATTCCGAAACAAATTTACTCCAACTTTTCTGCATAAAACTAGGTACTTAAAAATTTCAATATGTAATTATACAATTTGTGTTATAAATTTATATATATATGTATGTATGTGTGCGTCCTGAACATATTACCTGATGTGCCACAAATGTCGCCGTCTCAGAAGCTGTAAGTTTAGCCATGGCAGATTCCTGAAAAAAAAAATTTTTTAAGCAATTAAAATAAATAAATTAGCACTACTGGAACGAAAGAAAGTAGTAAATGTTGTTATCTCAAAGATAGTATGACAGATAAGCAGCTTTGTATGAATGTTACATTTAATACTGGTAAATATGATACATATACTGAACACTACTGAATCAAAAATCAGTATTTAGAAAAGTTACAAATGTGTCAAAAGCAGAAAGTTTTTTAATGGAAGTTCCCATAAATATAATATTTCACTTATAAATTTTTCTATTTATAAAACAAAATAAATGCTGAACATTTCCTGCTGCATCAAAATAACTCGGGAAGTCATTGGACTAATGTTCACCAATCTTAGCTTACCAAGATTCTGAAGGGTAATTATTTTGCTAATATTGGACTGATACAGAAATGCCGGATGCACCCGATAATTTATAGCCACTATTCAGCCGAAGTTTACCTTATATAAAATTGTCAACAATATTCCTACAATATTTTATTTCCCTTATTTACCTAATATCAGCCCTATACAGATTTGTTAAGTTCACCCGATATTTTAAAGCTGTCATTCAGCCTATATCTTTTCGATGTACAAATGTCAGACTCAACCAATGTTTTACAGCCGTTACTAAGCCAATATAAACCAACCCAACTAACAATTGTCCGATTGACCCAATATTTTATAGCCGTTACTCAACCAATATTGGCCATATATAGAATTGTACAATTCACCTGATATTTTAAAGACGTTATTCATCCATTGTAGATCCTACTTAAAATTGGCCGATTAACCAGATATTTTATAGCCCTTAGATAAAACCTAAAAGGTAAAAAAAAATAAACGCTTTTCGCTAAAATCCATACTTAGTTGTTATCAAATCTCATGGACGAATAGCCATCAATATAACTCTAGAGCTACTTTTTCAATAAAATCAAAACATGCAGTGCTCTTGGTAATTCATTTTTCTACTCCAGAACTTGTCATTTTGACCAAGGTAAATGTTTTATTTCATAAACCCGTTGAACAGCCGACCCAAATCGGAGTTTATGACTACCAATGTTCAACTATGTCGACTTCTCCTCTCCTGAATCTCGTGTTGGGAGAAATTTGCCTTAGTGGAAGACTTTCTGACGGAACTAACCCACATTTGTGTTGTATGAAGAGGAAAATCTTCCATGGTTAGCCTGATGTCAGAAGTCTCTAAACTGCCTACCACTGAGGATATCTTATGCCAGCTTGCACTCGGTACGACCTGGGAGTGGAACTCGTATCCACCAGCCATTGCTGAGATTCAAAGCCGGTTCATCTAATTGGAAGGAGAGCGCTCTATCCCCTGAGCCACCATGGCTTTAGGTGAAAATGTTTGAAGTTATTATTTCCAGTAATACCGTAAGGACTGAGTGTTTAATTGGGTTGCACATCACATTTTCTGAAACCTACTCTGAAATATTGCAAATAGTTCAAATGCAGCTTTATCAATTTTATTTTTAACTCTTTCAACATCAAACATAAATTTTGACTAGAAACTTGCCATTTTGACGAAGGTGATAATCATTTCCAGTAATGCCGTAAAGAGAGTGCTTAATCAGATTGCGTAGTTGTATCTTCTAAGCCCACTCTAAAATGTAGCCGATAGTTCAAGTGCAGCTTTTGCAATCTATTTTTTAACATCCTGCAATATCAAGAACGAGAATAAATTTTTAAGGTCGCTTAGTTTTCTACTCCAAATCGCACCGCATTACCCCACAAAAGCCGAATAATAAGTAAAAGCAATTTTTCCTTTTTAAAATATGTGTGTTTAATTGTTATATTAATTAATTTTCAAAATATTTGGATCAGCAGAGAGTTTTAGGACAAAGAATTTACACGGTATTTTTCTTATTTCATAAGAAAAAATCCTGAACAAAAACTTTCTTTCAATCGTTTACAATTTTACCAATTACCAATATTTTATATGAACTATCACAAGCTTAATAGACGAATAAAAAATATATATTTATTTTCAAACGGTGAATTTTTGAACTGCTGCGAAATAAAAAAAAAGTTTTATGAGCAAAAAAGAAAAATCTGTTATAGGTAGATTTGCTTGCATTGTAAATCACTTATTAGGAACTTGATATAGGAATGGATATTTTTTAAGTACTTCAAGTCTTTCCAGGTTCAATAGCTGTAAATACAAAACTGGTCCTTAATTACAAGTCCATAATGGTTTTATACATTTCTAGCCAATGGTCTTAGAATGGCTTTCGATATCGGACCGAGATTGAGATGCTGTTGCCGATCAATCTAGTTGCCGGATCATGCTGTTGCCACTCAAGCTAGATCAGACACAACAGGATCCATAAGCCTAGGCCCACATAGGCGTGATTTGAACAGGCATGCCTCAAACAACAATTTACGAGCTAATATTGGAGTATCTATACTTTGTAATATTGGTCCTACAATGGCTTTCAATAATGGACTAATATTATTTTCTATGTAGAGCCCTTATAGACTTAAAATGTTTGGTAAACATTGGATTGCCTAGATTTTTCAATATTGGTCCTAGAATGGCTTTCAATAACGGCCCCGTATCATTTTCTATGCAGGCACTTAATAAACTTATCATGTTGAGTAAACATAGGGATGTCTAGATTTTTGAATATTGCTCCTAGATGGAAATACATCTTGTTCCAATATTGAAAGTCATTCTAGGACCAATATTGAAAAATCCAGACATCCTAAAACAGGTTCCACGGAACATGTTCTTATGGGAACCATATTAGCCAATTTTGAGCCTAACTGGGGTCAGTGTAAAATTGTTGCTAGGCTTATTAATTCGAAGGAAAATACATAGAAAGTAAACTTTCGAGAGACTATAATTCACACGGGTCATCAGTTTTCCATTTGTTATGTAACAGATAACTATAAAGTAGAACATATTATTGAATCAAGTATATTCAACCAAAATCTTTGAAATATGTATAATAAACAGCATTTTTGAGCATGAAATCTCATCCAAAATAAATTATTTCTATATATATTCCATAATTATTTCCATTTTCATGCAAAATAAATTATTATATATAAGAACAGGGAAGAAGACAGCTAAATTTCTAACAGCAAAATCTCTCTTTCTGAAACTAAAATGGCATGTTAGGCAAACATAAACTAAAAATTAATAATTAACATTTAACACAGCTTTTTCTGTCATATATTATAACTTCAATATATCAACTTCTAAATTCATAATGTTAATAAAAATATATTATAAAAAAGGCATTGAAAAACTGATTAAATTAGTCACATAATTCCTATCTCGTTAATTCTTATGTATTCTTCATTTCACATTTTCTTAAGGAAGCTAATTTTACTTTGTTTTAAATAGTACACAACTTACAAATTTCAAAATCTATTATAATGTAAATCATTAACTATTTCAAGGTTTATGTTTAAAGTTTTTGAGAAAAAATTTGCAATATTCGTTAAATTTGAACAGAACGTCAAGTATAAATCTATCTAAACAATCATGTACTAAAATATTTTCTTATTTTACATGGGATCTCAATAAGTCGAGGTATCCATGATCCAAATTGGAATGTATATTAAATTTTGTTCTCATATTTTTTAAATTAACATTTTTACACCTTTATTGAATACCATAAAACCTCTGCCCAATGCAGAAAGATGCACGAAAAAAAGTAAATTAAAATTTTTCTAATTCCTTGTATATTAAATTTTGTTCACATATTTTTTAATTTAACATTTTTACACCTTTATTGAATAAATGCCATAAAAAACCTGTGCTCAATACAAAAAGAAAAATGAATTAAAATCTAATCATTATTTGTGCAAATCATCAATATGAATTACAGAATATATATTAGGTTGGTGATAAAGTTTCTACCAGATTGACAACTTATACAAAAATTATCCTTTCACTAAACTACAGAATTGCGATGTTTATAAGTAATGATTGATCATACACTGTTGATATTTTTTGATAGAAGTTTATGCACCTATAGCAGTATATGACTATACCAATTACTATCGAGATTTAAAATTGCGTAGTCTCATTTGAAAGAAAACCCTTATGTCATTCTCCTTTGTTTTGAACATTAAAGTAAAAATAATTTTTTGATGAATTCTGTTTTTAAATTAAATTTGATTCTTAAATTTTAAAACCAAAAAAATATTAATCACATTAAAATCTGTATTTGAAATTAAACTTCTACTTTAAGCACAGTACATATTTGGTTGAAAATTATAGGTTTCACATCGATTTAGAATTCCATTTCCTCATAAGAAAATCGTAGGTTTTGGTGTAAGTAATAAATTAATAAAAATTATTTGAATTCATACCTTTGTGAAATTTTGTCCAGCATCTTTCAACATGGCAGCTTTCCATGTTAGCAAACGAGCAGCTTCTAATCTTGTTTCCATATCAGCCAGTTTCATCTTAGAAGAATTGAGAACATCAAATATTTAAATAATAATAAAAATGTCAGTACAGTGCGCACAAAAAAAGGATCACCCTGAATAACTTTATCTTTGATCTAATGATCGGATCTTCACATACTATTACTCATTCTTAATAGTTCGAGGGACTGACCTCTAATATGCTACTTAATCAGTGCAGACTATATTTTAAGTTTTGAAATCGAATACAAAAACGTACTTTTTCAGAATAAACATAACCCTTTTTTTTTTCGATGGATTCGGATTTCTCACCTCCAAAATATAGAGGCTAGCCACAATCTTGGAAATATTGTCCCTATAGTTTGGTCAGAAGAGTAATCAAAAGTTAGAACCCCATAATGTTAATTTTATTTTTTGTGTATTATGCCATATCTCGAGCAATTTTTAAGAAAGTAGAAAAATTATTGGACATAATTATAAAATTTGTTAATTCAAAGATAATTCCATGCAAAAAAGAAATTTTTGTAAATATTATTTTTTGATTAAAAAAAATCAAAAAGAAAATTTTGAGCAGAGAAGCATACAACTTTTACATAATTTTTAAATATGTAATTTTATATGGCGAAATGCAAAATTTGAGCGCAATCGGTTAAAAAGTTTCTGAAAATTCGAATTTTAAATTTATGACTTTTTCAAAATTCAATTTCTCAGGTACTATTCAACTAATTTCGCTCTAATTTTGTATTTTGCCACGTAAAATTGCGTACTTTAAAATGATATAAAAAATTATTTTTCCCAAATCTCACAGACGATTAACTGGTGAATTAGGATATTTCTTGCAGTCACATACCCTCATGACAGTTAATGAATAATTTGTCCCTGTCATTTTGCATGCGCCTGATTGTTTTTTGTTTAACCCTCAAGTTTAATAAAAAATCTGTATTTTTTTCCCGTTTTTAATCCAGAACAAGAACCAAATTTTGTTTGCCTTCAGCTCTGGTGCTCATGTGATGCACGTGTGACCTCAGACTATCTTCCTATTCAGTATTCAAAAATGTTTTGCGATAACCAAATTCATTGTTATTCGATTCGCTGGAAAATAGAAAATTATATCTTCCTCTTGGCCGAATTAATTTATTTCTCTTTTTTTTAATTTGTGTATTAAATGGTCCTTTACTTATTGACTAAAACTAAAAAGAAAGCAATAGCTCATTTTTGTCAAGGGATTCATGAAGGTAGATTTGCTTGCATTGTAANACAATCTTGGAAATATTGTCCCTATAGTTTGGTCAGAAGAGTAATCAAAGGTTAGAACCCCATAATGTTAATTTTATTTTTTGTGTATTATGCCATATCTCGAGCAATTTTTAAGAAAGTAGAAAAATTATTGGACATAATTATAAAATTTGTTAATTCAAAGATAATTCCATGCAAAAAAGAAATTTTTGTAAATATTATTTTTTGATTAAAAAAAATCAAAAAGAAAATTTTGAGCAGAAAAGCATACAACTTTTACATCATTTTTAAATATGTAATTTTATATGGCGAAATGCAAAATTTGAGCGCAATCGGTTAAAAAGTTTCTGAAAATTCGAATTTTAAATTTATGACTTTTTCAAAATTCAATTTCTCAGGTACTATTCAACTAATTTCGCTCAAATTTTGTATTTTGCCACGTAAAATTGCGTACTTTAAAATGATATAAAAAATTATTTTTCCCAAATCTCACAGACGATTAACTGGTGAATTAGGATATTTCTTGCAGCCACATACCCTCATGACAGTTAATGAATAATTTGTCCCTGTCATTTTGCATGCGCCTGATTGTTTTTTGTTTAACCCTCAAGTTTAATAAAAAATCTGTATTTTTTTCCCGTTTTTTATCCAGAACAAGAGCCAAATTTTGTTTGCCTTCAACTCTGGTCCTCATGTGATGTACGTGTGACCTCAGACTATCTTCCTATTCAGTATTCAAAAATGTTTTGCGATAACCAAATTCATTGTTATTCGATACGCTGGATAATGGAAAATTATATCTTCCTTTTGGCAGAATTAATTTATTTCTCTTTTTTATATTTGTGTATTAAATGTTTCTTTATTTATTGACTAAAACTAAAAAGAAAGCAATAGCTCATTTTTGTCAAGGGATTCATGAAGGTTAAGAATCCTCTATTTCGTCATCAACGATCTAATCGAGACAATAAAGTCAACATTGCGCACAAACCGCCTATACTTCCCAGAAAAGCTGGTATATGGGTGATTCATTTTAAACATGCCAATTTGGACCAAAACATTTCTTCAAATTTAAAGTCTTCAAAATAATCTAAAAGTTTTTTTTGCATACTTTAGTTACATTTAATAATATCTTACAGACAGCAGTGTAGTTTATTGACATTTGCTCGAGAAAAAAAAAATATAATAGAAATTCACCAAATCTTGAATGCCAAGAAAATGACATATTAGCTTAGAAGTTTAAAAAACAGTCATTTTAAGTTAATAGTAAGTAACTCAAATTAAGCCTTTATGTTAGATGGACCATAAATTGCTTAAATTAATTCTTTTTATCCACTGTAGAAAGAATCAATTTTTTTGTGGCTGATATGTACAGAATAAAATTGTGTATAATAATCAATCATTGAATAAATAAATAACTTTGATTACATCCAACCATATTACAATCATACATAAACTTGGTATTAGGTTAATATTTGCTTTTCCTCCTTACAGTATTAGCAGTTAAAGAGAAATTTTGATAACTCTTCAATGTCCTAGAATTCATAAGCCAGGAAAATGACAGCCAGGATAATGACAAATTCGCCATTTTATAGCATATAACTTTACTTTAATATTTTGGCCTAAGATGTTTACATTCTGCAGAAAACAACAGGATTTTCTAAAATAACTCAGATAAATCTATGTAGTTTATGTTATTAATGATTTCAAGAAGCCAGGAAAATGATAACACAAAAACCTAACTCATCGTGAGAATTTTTTTGAAATAGATTTTGAACCAGGAAATTGATTCTTTATTCAAACAACAAGGCATGTTCATATAGGAGGGTATCTAATCAATCTATACACATAAGATATTGATTGCTGGCTCTATCTATTTTGGTAATAAACCACTAAATAAAAGTAGCCAGGAAAATGACAGATTTTCTTGGGACGAATTAATTATTGACGGAAATAATTATTTTAGGCGAAGTTTTTGTAAATAATACCCTCCGCGTATATTCTAGAAATGCTTACACCGGTTGAGATAAAAAAATTAGATATTGAAAAATTTTTGGGAAGTTCTGGAGCTAGTTATTATTAGAAACATTGTTTGGGACATGCCAGGAAAATGACACTTTAAAGTTCAATTAAATTTTTTAACTATTCAAAACAGTCAATGCTAGTGCAAAATCATTTAAAAATGCTAACAGCAATGCAATTTATTAATCTTTTTTCGAGAAAAGTTCTTTTAGTATTATAGTATTAGATCTTGGAACAGGGAGGGGACAGAGAATTGCCATATTTCGTGAGAATCACCCATATATCAAGCAGCCACTGGATATCGAACCCAAGTTCTTCACAACAGTTTAGTGTTTATGTCACAGACTAAGTGCGGATCATTAACTGAAAAATTTTATATAAAACCTTTAAATCTGTGGAGGAATATAGAATATAGTGAAATATTAACAACAAAATAATTTTCATTGAAGCAAATGAATAACATACCTATTTATGATTAGGAATAAATCTATTTTAAATGTTTTATTGTGATTCTGAATTAAGTGACGCTAAGCGTCACACTATTTATGATTAGGAGTTTCATTCGGCAAAATGCTAACCCCCCATAAAATATAAGTTTGCGGCACCTGACAATTTCATTAGCACATTTAAAGTCATCCCCTTTAACCATTAAGTTTCAGTCCTAGAACGTGAAGATCCGATCAATAGATCAAAAGTTATTCAGGGTGGTCCGTTTTATTTTGGCGCACTGTTCAATAGTCTAATAATTACTTTTCGCATTAAATAATAATTGTTATGTAAACAGTAACATTTAAATAATATTTCTTATGTAAACTGTAGCATTAAAAATATAATTTAATTTAAACAATAAATATTACCTGTATTGCCTGTTTCCCAAGTATAGGATTTCCAAAAGCTAATCTTTGTGAAGCATAGTGAATAGCACAATCAAGGGCAGCCTAAAATAAATGAATAATATGAAATAACGACTATTTAAGTAAATCAGCAGTCAGAATGTGAAAAAATGGCATTTTAAATACATAAACAAAATGAATCAACGAAAGTCTAATTGCTTTTATTTGTCAATATTGCAGTGGCAAAATCACGAAGACATTGTTGCAGAACATTACAGAATTCTTGAAGAAAAAATTTTTCATTTGCGAAGCAAAAAGCTTTGGTTTTTCTTACCAGCAGAACTTTTTGTAAGTTTCTTTTCCAGCAAAGTTTTTCGAACAATGCTTTTTTTTTCTTTTCTGCAGAATTATTTTCTAAATATGTATTTCTTGCATTTTGGAGGAGAAAGAAATGCTCATGATTTTTTTCTCCTTAAAAAAAAGAACTGGTATGACTGTGAGTAGGAATTTTTGTTACGAACTCAGATTTGTAGCAAAAGAATTAATAAATCATAGTGGTATGTTTGACCTTCCTTTTTTTATTTAGTTGAAAAAAAATTTATTCTACATTTTTAACATACCATTAGCATACAAAAGTTTTAAACCAAGCAGTCTTCAATAAATCGCCTACAGTTCAAGTTGATTCCATCGGAAATATATGCAGTGATTTGATCATTTTTGACAATTATTGCTACAAATTTTTTTTTTTAAAATCCCTATGTCTTTTATTTTACTTTTGATATTTTCATGATTTTTAAGAAAAAAGAATACGGATATTACGACACATGTATTTGAGTAATTTACTTTTAATACGGAGATTCCACCACCGACTCTTTGGCAGTTATTGCTATTGATTTCAACTTAGTTTTTCTCCTTTAATATTATTTTGACATGTGAAATTCGTATCACACATTTAAATATCTAATCATTTTTTTGACACTCTCAATTCACGCAGATAGCATCGTGAATCCATGTGATGTTTCAAATGTTTTCGACAGTTATTGATATTAATTTATACATAGTTTTTAAAGATCCCAATATATTTTACACATATTTTATATGTATTCGCAATATAAATTATATAATGCAAGAAGTTCGAATCACGCATTAGAGTATTTATTTCTTGACGCAATGTTCCAATCAATTTTTCAGCAGTTAATGTTTTTGATTTCCCTATGTTCTTAAAATAATAAATTTTTTATATGACATTATTTATTACACACGTTTGAGTAACCCCTTTTTGAAGAGTCTGATTCTTTTTTTGGTAGTTACTGCCACGGATTTCATTGTTTTTTTAAACGTGATTATTATTCACAAAATGTGAAAAAAGTAATAATTAGTGTGTTTCTTTCCTCCTCAAAACAGGAGAATATCGCCCATAATATTAGATTATGTATTCCTTTAAGCGTAATTTAAAAAAAAAATTCTTGCATTTACAATTGAAAAGAATCAGATTCAGTCTTATTCTATAGAGGAGAGAATTGTAACAGGGTACGATTGTGACAGAGCAAAAATTTCGAGTGCCGGGTTCTTGATTTGGTTCCTAGGTGGCACACAAGGTGTATTTAATAAATCTACATGTACATCCCTGCTGGAAACCATTTTTATGTACTTTTGAAAGAGTTACATCACAAAAGATATTTTCACGCTACGTAAGTACTTTTTTTGGTATTAGAATATTATATTGTAACAAAGTAATTTTGTTTAAACAAATAAAAATTATTAACCGAATATGTAAGTGGACACCTTAATTAACATTTCAAAAAAAAAAAGATTAGTTTTGTTAATTAACTAGCATTGTTTTTAACAAATGAAGCTGAAATGGCGTCTTGGGGACGATTGTAACAATAAGTAAAGGGACGATTGTAACAGCTGAAAATAAATAATCTTTTGTTTTCAAACCATTACTTAACTCTTTAAGAACCAGCAACAGTTTCCTATATCATTTATATTATGTTGCATGTGCATTATTTTATTTGTCACCTTTCACAGCATAAATTAAAATTGTTAACCCCTTAAAGTTAAAAGTTTAACCCTTTAGGTCTCTGCTCATTATTATTTTTACTCCTAAAATATCACTACAATTTTGATCAATAAAGAAATATATCACAACTATGATGATATGTATAATTAACTATACTAAAAGAAAACACAAATATTTTAAATTCTAAATAGAAAGAACTTCTTTGAAAAAAATGCGCTAAAAAGCAGCAGAAATTTCAGAAAAAAGTAGCAATAAAGAAACAGAAAATGAAGGAAATAAAAATGAAAATATGACCACCGAAGCCGACGTTTTCAGGGGGTAACGGCCCCGGTAGCCATTAAAAAAAAAACATTTCTAATTGAGGGAGAAGCAAATGCTGAAATTAACTCCCTCCGAACCCCTCAGCACTACAATTTTGATCAATAAAAAAATATATCACAACTATGATAATATGTATAATTAACTATGTTTTAGTTAGGATGTTTATGTGTTACAATTGACCCCGTAAGTGGGGACAATTGTAACAAGTGCACGACTGTCAAAAATTGTTAATAACTAATATAATAACATTTAAAATAAGATATTTATTTTTTTTTCTAGTTGAGGATAGTCTACTTGTCAATTAATACTAATATTATATTGGATCTTTTGTTAGTTAAAAATATTTAAGTAAAAAATGTCACAATTGACCCCACACTCCCCTACATTAAGGGTTTTTTTTGTAAACACGAAGCACTTATGTTACTTTAAATAAGTAATATATATATTTGTTGCGATTCAGAAAGGTATTAGTGTAAAAAAAAATTTTGCAGAAAGTTTCAAAAATCTCTGCTACAGGGGTCAATATTGGCAATATTAAATATATATTGGATTATTGATCACATTTCTACCAGATTGACAATAAAAGTCTAGTTTAGTACAGTTTCTCTATTGAATGACGAAGAAGATATACAACCGAGCAATTGGATTTAACCCTAATCTCCATTTTGTTTATGCAATCAAAAGGTTAAAATTTTTTTCCTTATTATGACATACCTATTAAGAAAGAAAATCCTACCAATTTCAGATAATCAGTATGTTTGGTCAGTTTATTTTTCACTCTTTGATTGTAATATAGTATTTTAACATTGTTAAGAGATTCATTAACTTGTAGTGTTTCCCCCCCCCCCATTTTGCATTGATATTCTAACTACTTAAAAGGTTACAATTTCTTCTAGGTGGCTTTTTTATTATGCTGCTAATGTTATACTACTGAAAAAAATTTCTACAAATAATACATGTAGCTTACTTTTGTGTTTAAGGAGAATTTTTTAAATTATACATTCTTGTATTTCAAGTCTAAATGAGCAATAAAAAATTAAATTATTTTATAAGCTTTGCTCCATTAGAATACACGTTAATTAGTTTTGCCTTATTTGGTTTAGGGTATAAATTCCTTAAGTGGGTGATACATCATGAATCATTGCATTTGGATTGGGGAATATAAGAACCCCTGTAACAGAAAAAATATTTATAGATACTTTAAAAAAATTAAGAAGGAAAAATTGTGAAAAATGATATGTGACAATAAAATAATTAGATAAATTAAAATAATTACATTGGGTTTTAGATCAATTAGCCAATTTTACAGAGAATGATTATTTAAATTTTTAACTCGGATTTATAATGTATCGCAAGTAGTTAAAAACTAATACATTGAGATATAGATCAGTTGATTCATTTTTGAGAGAAAAGCTATTTAAATTGTTAAGTATGATTTATAATATATGTCAGTAAAATAAGTATATTAAAATCAATACAGTGAGTTATAAAGTAATTGATCAATTTTGCAGAGAAAATATTTTCAACACAAAAATTTTTTCAACATCATTAAGTTTGAGGTCAAAATTTTTGCCAATCAAAATGCAAAATATTAATTTGAATTAAAAAATTAATTTGAAATTTTGTACTTTTAATGTTTGTCTTTCATTTACAATAAACATAATGAGAACTTTTCTTTGCAGTTCGTGTTAGTAGGCTCAGAAGGATAACAGGACACATATTATATATTTATATATACACACACATATATATATATTTAAGGTTTATGACTAATACATTATATATTATGTACAATTATACATATTTTTAAGAAAACACATCCAAATTTTTACTTCTGTAGCCACATTGCCCCCTATATTCGATCTGCATTCGTCCGTGATAAATCCTCCAGGTGTGATTGTGACACAAAGTGAAAGAAAACAGAAAGTTTTATGTGCAAAAACATGATAATAAGATATCAATTTATGTGCACAATAATTATTTAATATAATTTTTTGAACTAAAACTTATAATTAAATTTCCTACCAACAAACAACATCACACTTTTATAGTAATTAATTTAAGAAAAAAAATAGTGTGTGGAGTCCCTCCGCGCGGAAGAAATTAAACTTCGCAACCTCCGACGTTAATTGTAGAAGAATCAGCAGTCGTAGAAGGATTACTAGTTCTATTCAACGACTCTTTTTCCTGCTCCACTCGCTTCCGTGTTCTGTAATTACGGTAAAATTGTGCATTTTTCCCTTGTGGACCTCTTGAACCAGTGGAAGTGCTTGTGGTTGCCTCATCGTCTCGCCCTGGAAAATGTATTTGTATTAATAATGTATGTGAATGCGTCATAATGTAATTTCAGAAGAGAAAACCTAACAATCAATTGATATTCACAAGAGACGTACCTTGACATAAGCATATAAATCCGTCGCATTGTCAGTGGTATTGTTTTCACTCATTTTTTACAATTGTTATCCACTAAATTTGAAAATAAAAAATACTACCCTATTAAATTATTTGTGTATCAAAACAAACTAAAGAAATATTTATAGAAAAATAATACTTTTATGACTTTTATTATTTTTATGCTAGTGAGAACCAAAACCATATGGAAATGAATGAGAGAAAACTGGATCCTACCACGTGATTTCCCGGTCAATAAAAATGTAGCCTTAAAAGTTTAACGCAACCTTGTTGGAAGTCGCATAGGAAGTATAACTTCAAAAACTTTTGGATTTTAAAATCGTGCGACTATGAATCGCAATATAGGATTTAAAAAAGCGAAAATACAAATCGCAATATCGGATTTTAGAATAGCGTAAACATAAATCACAATGCATGATTTTTAGATCCCGTGAATATGAATAACATCAGATCTTAAACTTTCGTGAAAATGAATCGCGATATTGATTTCAAAAACGTGTAAATACAAATTGTGATGTTGGATTTTTAAATCGCGTGAATACGATTCACATTGACTAACTTTTAAATCAGATCAATACGAAAATCGACGTTTGATATTAAAATCGCGTGATTACATATCGCAGTATTAGCGGATTCCGGCATAGTTCCAAATATTAAAAATGGTGAAAATCTAAAATTACGGAAAAGTCACGTGTATGAAACGTCCCAGTAATGTGAGTTAGCAAAGGTTTCAAAATTTAAATTTCAGAACTTAATTCTTACTTTAAATTTTAGATTGTGGTGAAGCATTTTTCTGATTATAAGTGTTGAAAGTTCGCAAATCAATGTCTTCTCCTAGTTATACCTGCCCTGGGGGAATGATATGAAAAACCCGGAAACCCCAGCTGGAATACAATCACCCTTGATCCTCACAAGAGAATCCTTCTCTATTTTAACTCCTTTCCTCCCCCCCCCCTTATAAGGGAACAACACATTCCATATCCCTCACCCATTGACTTTCAAGTCTCATTACGTCAAGTTCATTTATCTGCCTGGGAGTGGAAATCAGTGTCATGATAAGGGTTTAACACTTTTAATACATATTCTTCCAAAGTTACTTTATATTTTATTTGAAAATTTTAAGGCTAATAATTTTTCCTTTGCATTTGAAAAGTAAGCTTTTTTTAATAAAATTAATCATGAATCGATTTTATGTTCTGCACTGCCTGTAAAGGTTTTGTATGACATTTTTTTTAAAAGAGAAAGAAGTATTCTTTTTCTTAATATCACACTCACCTGTGCAATTCCCAATGCTTGCCCTGCAACACCTATTCTTCCAGCATCAAGAATGGTCTGAAATAATTTTGTATTAATAAACAAAATTTCAGATTTGTATTAAAATGAAATTTCAACTATGATAAGCTAGAAGAAATTACCATTGAAATTTTAAATCCCTCTCCTAGCTTCCCTAAGAGGTTTTCTTTTGGAATTTTACATTCTTCAAAATTTAAGTTACAAGTTGATGATCCTCTAATACCCAATTTGTTTTCTTTTTTGCCTAATGTGAGACCATTGATTGGTTTAGGAACAATGAAACAACTGATTCCTTTGTGCTTCAGAGCTTTATCAGTTGTAGCAAACACCTGGGAACAATAAAATAGTAACTTTAGTGTACATATTTAATGATCAAAAAGACATACAATGATTAATATACAGAGAGAAAGAGACAAGTTGTTTCTGTTTTGGAGGTCTAAGCTGATTCAAACTTGAAATCAATATGACTTTTTTTAATATTAAGCTTGTCCGAAATTTAACATGTAGCATGAAATTTAACATGTGAGATAAATGTTAAAATTCTAAAATATAAAAGTTCAAAATTCTCGAGCATTTCTATTATATAATAATTATAACCCATTTCAAGATTTAACAAGTTTTATAATTTTAAGATTGTGTTTTAAAAAAAAGCAATAAATTATTTGATTTAAATTAGATTTTCTAATAATAAATAGTTAAATTTTAGAATTATAAATTAAATTTTAAATCGTATTAAATATAAATCATTACAGTATCATTCAAATCACAGTATAGTATCACTCAAATATCATTGCAAATCTCAAGAGTAGCAGATAGAAATTAAAAAAAGCACTCAGAATCTTGGTTTAAAATGAAAACACAGTTTCAGTAGCTAAATAGCAAAAAGAAAGAATGAAATATTTATTACAAATCAAAAGTTTGCAAAACTTATATAAAATATAATTATTTGCCGTTATTGTTGTCTTATGCCACTTGACAATATTGACAAGCAAATTTTAAGGCATTGGGATGTGTTTCTTGCTTTCCATTGACGCCATCTATGGCCGAGAATTCGACTTCTCCCACACACATACGTCACAGTTTGTTTTAAACGGAGGTCATATTCACACACCATCCATCCATCCATGGAAAGTAAACTTATTCTGCACCGAAGCACCTTCGATCCAGTACCTTTAAGGGTATCAATTTGCTATGAAAACTTGGAGGACTTTGTGACCACGAGAGGTAGTGTGTACTAGTCACCATCTAGTACAAGGGAAGTCTTCGGACGCAGCCTCTTGGACATGAGTCCAACTAAGATATCTATTTATTTGTTGAAAAGTAAACAATAATAAAGTAGTTACAAATGTTAGATTTTATGCCTAATTTTTCCACTTAATGTGCATAATAATTAATAATTCACAAAATAAAATAAACCAGTATATAAAAAGATGAAATAAAAATGATTATTGATAATTCACAGTTTGAATTATATTTTACTTTTTTTCCTGTAACATCAAAGGAATATTGTAAAATAATCAAACCAATTTAATGTAATTTCTATTGGTGCTAAATTCTTAATATTTTCTTTTACAATCACAATGGGATTCACAATCATCTGAACTTCATTTCAACAATGCTAATATGAATAATAGTGGTAGATAAATTTTTAAAGTAAAAAATATTAGTTTTAATACATTAAAGTAAATAGAAAAAGAAACAATTTTTTGTTACATTCAAAATGCAGCAAACTGAATTCTGCTAATATAAATTGAATTTTGATAGCTACAATTTATTGCATGTTATTAAAACTAGTACCCTCTTTGTCAGATGCCATTAAGAATAGTAAATTTGAAAAAAAGAGAGAGAAATATAAATGGGACACTTAAACCAGAAAAATCATGCAACGTAATTTTTTTTAACCTTTTTAAAAATAAATTCAAACAAATCAGATTTCAAATTTTCCTGCTTTTTCCAGGTAAAGATCCTAAAATTTCCAAGTCCGTGGTTTTTTTTACTTATTCTTTTCTTATAAAGTATAGGATGTGTGCAAAAAAGTGTCTATATTAAAATGTTATTTTTTAAAACATATAATCTTGAAAAAAAAATTATTTTGACAAGATTTTGTTTTTAATGTTTTGATACAACATTAATTTTTTAAAAATTAAGTCATGTGGGGAAAATAATATGTTTAGCTTGTAGAATATATGGTTTTCATTGAATAAAATTTTTTTAATGTGTTACTTTAAGTAGCATTTGATCTAAATGTACCCGCTAAAATGGCAAAAACATATAATGATCAATAAAACCTTGGATAAGTATTGTTTAATATATTTTTATTAGGCAAAGGAAAACGGTTTCAGGTGATATTATATCAATAAATTTTTATAATTTCAGAGGCTCCCAAAAGTGTTCGTTCCCTTATAACTTTTATTGAAATAGGAAATAAAAATTCATTAATTAAAATGAATATTTCACAATGGGTATTTGATAACAAGATGTATAATCTATTTTTAGAAAAACTGCATGGACTATTTTAAAAACAAAGCAAAAATCAATTTTTAAGACATCAGTAATCAGATAGTAACAAAAATTTTACCATTGTACAGTTAATTGTTTTCGGATTTCAGAATTAAAATTATCATCAATTGCTTTAATTTTCTGATTTAATTATTTTTCATTTAATTTTTAATTTATTTGTTTGTAATTTAGTATCAAACTTATGATAGCAAAACTATATTTTAATTTCTGCTTGCTAACTCCGTAATATTTTATTTTATCATTTAAAAACGGCTCGGGGTCGTAATAAAACAATAGACCAAATTTGATTATTTGTCATCATAAGAGGTAAATCAGTAATGAATACGTTAAATTAGTTTATTGTGTCCTATTGCACTGTGTAATATGTAACAATACGTTTTAAAGAAGGACTTTAAGCATTCATTAAGCAAAGAACCAAAGGATCAGAGATTAAAATTATAACATTTGTGGAAAAATTCATAAATTCACAATTGAGTGTTGCAAAAGTTTCCATAAAAATTTTAAAAAAAAATTTCAGCAAGAAATTTACCCGAGGAAAAAAAAATCTGATTACACGTATTTACAGACTTATAAAAGCTATTATAGATGCGAAAGGAAGCTCTACTAAATGATAATTTAACGAAAAATTAGAATATTTACTAATAGAGTTTTTTTTTAAAGTTTGTGGGATAAAGTTTTTGTCTCTTTTTGATGATTTGATTTCTTAAAAATAAACTTTTCCTCCGTTTTTAAAATATTACATACAGTTTTGTCAATATTAGAATACATTTTTCGGTATTAAATATCCATTCTGAAATATTCATTTTAATTAATGGATAAACTTATTTCATTGAAAGTCATAAGTGCACCAACAATTTTGTGAGTCACTGTAATTACATTTCAATATCAAGCTGTACTGTATACTGCATTATACTGTATTTTATCTCACCAGTGCTTTTTTATAAAGTTCATTGATCATATTTTCTTTAAGCCAATATCTCAAGTCAAATTTTTAAATAATTTTGCTTTGAATTAGCATTATTATTTTAATAGATTCAGTATACAAAAATAAATGCTACAAATGTAAAATTGTCTAATTTTTTGTTCTATACTCTATAAAAAGAAAAAAATTGATAAAATTCCTTAAATTTGATGCTTTTATGTATTTTATTTGAAATTAAAACATTTAAAGAATTCCAATCTAAACACACAGTTTTTTAGTTTAGCATAGTTAATTGTGCTAGTTTTAACAACTAGAATCTTGAACATCGCACATCTAAAACACTAAGTTTCGTTTTCTATCTTCCGACTGAACACATATGAATAAAAAATATATTTGTTTTATGTTTATATAGCCTTTAATATGTTTCCTCTATATATTCCTTAGTCTTTGTCAGCTTATATCTTCTATCATGTGACATAAATTTTTAGGGAGATTTGAAGTTGAAATTTCTTTATAAATTAAATTATATTGAATATTATCAAAAGCGCTTTTAATATCAACTGCGACATGTTTAAAGTTGTTTTTGAGATGTTTCAGATTAGCTAGAAAATTTTGAAGTGCTTGATTTATAGATTTGCCGAAACGAAAACCGAATTGTTTGTCTGATAAAATTTGCCTAGAAATTTGCCTAGACAAGGGAGTAGTGTAATTGGTCTGTATGATGATAATAGTTTCGGATATTTATTAGTTTTCAAAAAAAGCAAGACTTGCCCTTTTTTAAAATAATCTGGAAAGCATTTGAGTATGAGACATTTGTTGAAAAATTTTAGAATTAGATTACCAAAAAATAGAAAAAGCTTTTTGACTATTATGTTATCAATACCGTCGATGCCAGGGGCTTTATTATTATTTAGAGTTTTAATTAAATTATCTAATTCATTGTATGTAAAAGGTGGGTCAAGATTAGAATTTGGGTAATGGAAATTATCTATTGGGATTATGTTATTGTCTCAGAAAAGATTCTCTAAAATATGTGACGCTTCTTCTAAAGGTGAGTTAGTGTTAAATATATCTGTAAATATAGAGTGATGATCTGTAAATATAGAGTCTTAAAAGATGTTTTATAGTGCTTTCCAAATCTATTGTTGGTGTTTTCACATAAAAATTTCCAACTATTATATTTAGCCTTCAGAATTTCTTTGCTCTTTTAAGTTTATAGATGGTTTTGTATTTGGTAATTTCGTCTTCTATTTTTGAGCGTTGGTATCTTTTCCTAGTCGCTTGCAGTTCTTTTTGGAGTATCAACAATTTACTATTCCACCATGTGGGATTTGATTGCTTGTTAAATGCTTTTGTTTTACATGAAAGTTTACAAGAACTAAAAATTTTATTGATTAAATTGTCTGCGAAATCGTTTAGTTGTAATAGAGTGTTTATGTTGTCTAAATTACTATTTAATTCATTATGAAATTTTGAAAAGTTTTTCTTAAATTTGTTATGATTACCGTATTTTGTTTTAAATCTAATAAAGGAGGAGAAAGAAAAAGAATTGTTTAGTTGGATTTTGATGTATTTATGATCGGAGTTTGTTTCTGCGTCTAAAACTTCCCAATTCGAATAGTTGAGGAGCTCCTGACTATTTCTTAGCGTTAAATCTGGAAAGGAGGAAGATCGAGTAGTAACAAAAGTTGGTGGAACGTTTTGGGTGTTTAATATTTTTAGATTGTTAGAAATAATAAGTTCAAACAGTGCATCGCCCCTGGCATCAGTGTTACCGTAACCCCAAAAGTCGTGATGTGCATTTAAGTCCTCGCAAATTAGAAGAGTAGAGTTGTCTGAGTATTTTGAGGTGTGAAAAAGTAGATCTTTAATTAATTGATTTTCATTGTCGAAGGGGAATTATAAAATGAGATT